GACACTTGCTGTGGCTTGAGCATATATGAGACCTCAAAGCCTGCCTCCACAATGACACACTTCCTCTAGCAAGGCTACACCCACTCCCGCAAAGCCACACCTCCTAATAGTGACCCTCTCTTTGGGAGCCATTTTCTTTCAAACCACCACACACAGGAAACAAGAGAAGTTAGAAAGGAGCTGAACGGATGCTGGCAAGGGTCTCAAGTCATCAGGAACCACCATGCATATGCGAAGGTCTAAGAGAGGGTTGCCATATTTATTCTTTTGAAGTTTTTCAGTGGAATCGGCCCAACTATATGATGGGTTTTGTCTTGAAAATGGTGGTTCTTCCCTAAAAAAAAGTCTAATATAAAAAGAAGAGGACAGCTGAAAAGAGCGTAATTGGAGTCGTCTGCTATATTTCAAGTGAACTTCCTTTTTATGCTGTGTGGATGCATTATGACTGACTTGCTCCTAAGTAGGTCTGAGTTACACAACATCACATCAGCAGCAGTGATTATAGAACAATGATTAAAGTCTTTTGATCTGGTGATGAAGATGAAGCATAGTTAGGCAATTAGACCTGCTAGTAACTGGGCTGGGACATATCAGCATTATATAATTGATGTTTCCTAGCTATACTGTTGTGGCACATACCTTTAATCCCAGCAATCAGAGGGTAGAGGCAGGTGGATCTCTGAGTTCGAGGCCAGCCTGGTCTACGGAGTGAGTTTTGGAACAGACAGGGCTACACAGAGAAACCCTATCACAAAAGAAAAAAAAAAAACAAGAAATAAAATAGTTAAAGTTTTCTTTGACCAGCTCATTCTAGTACTACCATATTTTATTGTAAAGTGAGTCTTTTTCAGTTTTCATAAAGAAAAAAATGTGTGTGTAGTTTATTTTGATATTTTTAAGTAATACACATTTGCTTTTCCTGATTAAATAATGAAACCCTGGGGCAATACAACCATGCATCATTCAGCAATCTGTTTATTAAAAGTCTGATATATCACAGGCTTGTGTACAGTACTAAGGGTAATGTGGATGTAAGAAGGAAGTCCAGCTCAATGTGTATTGCTGCCTGTGTGAAGACCACCTGAGATTCAGTTGTGTAGAAGAAATCCACTTTTCAACTCTGATTTCTTCCTGCAACTTAATGCTGGAACTGGGGCAAAAACCCTGAGGTAATCAGGCAACTAGCAGAGCACTGAGAAGAACAGGGAAAGACAAAAAGACAGACACTTTGAAGCCTGTATTGAAGCAAAGCCCCCCTTGCAAAGTAACTTAGGGGTGGGGAGCTAGAGAGATAACTCAGTGGCTAAGAGCACTGTTACTCTGGCAGAGGAGAGAACTGGAGCTTGGTTCCCAGCACTCCTATCCTGAGGCTCACAACTGCCAGTAACTCCAGCCCCAGGGGATCTGCTGCCTTCTCCTGGCCTCTGCAAGTACCCGCAGGCATGTACACAGGCAAATACACACACCTGAATAACAAAATAAAATCTTTAAAAATAATAAATCATATGCTGTATATTAAAATAGACACCAAGGGCTGGAGATGTAGCTCAGGGCTGGATTGCTTGCCAAGTACCTGTGAGGCTCTAGGTTCAGTCCCAACATCACCACCTATAATGGTCCGCTCTGTCCCTTTAAGAGACAAGCCATGCCTATTCCCTCTTACATCTGCAAAGGCAAGCTGATCTTCAGCTTCCAGTTTTAGTCTTTCCTCTTTTCCAGCTCCCTCTCGAAGAGGCAGCTTCTGTCTCTCCCTTCTCCCCACTTCTCCCCTTCCTCCCTTCTGTTTCTCTCTCTCTCCCTGCTTCTCTCTCTGCTCTCCCCTTTCCCCTTCATAACCAACTAAATAAATATCCAACCTCACTCTGCATGGCGTGCCTATCTGTCTGTCTCTTGCCCACTGTGTGGCTCACTGCCAGGGACCAGCTGCCTTCAGAGACCTGCGGCATGGTCTTGTGGTGTGCCCACCTGTCTGTCTCTCCCAGTGAGACTGGCTGCCCCATCGAGGTCTTTCACCCATGAGGCAGCTCCCTGCCTGGGACTCATGGCCCTCTGCAGCCACTGGCTGCAGCCACTGGGGGAACTGTGCCTGCCTGGGACTGGCTGCTCTCGGGATCCACTGCCCGCTGCGGCCACTAGGGGACCTGCAGCATTTTACTTCTAACATAATGCCATCATCTAAATGGCAGGCTAGTTTGCTCAGGCTGTGAACAAACACAGAGACAGTATTGTGAGCTTTGATTTAGAGTGGCTGGTATATCTAGTCACACAGCCCCGCATGAGACTTTTGGATCAAACTGACTTAAGATAAGCAGAGCATAGTAAGTGATAAATCGTAGGAAGATAGTTTTTGAAATCACACTGATTAACTTCACCAATAATCCACAAAAGGCCGATTGTCTACTCATGTCAGAATCCCCGGTACACAGTTTGTAGTCTGCTACACATTCTTATACTCAGATTGCAGAACAGTCTGTTTATACTCTCATTTCACAATACAAGTTTATCAGTGTGGATCCTTCTTTGTTATGGTTGAAAGCTGCATATTAAAGGTTACAGTACTCCACAATCAGGAGCTACACTTTATCACGCTTCCTACTGAATCCCCAGTACCCAGCACTGTGCCTATATCAACCTCTTGCGGGTCCTCTGACCCCAGCTGGCCATTGCACACTGGAGACACAGGATGGGGAGTAGCTGGGGAGCAGGATCTCCTGTTTCCTGTGGGTAGAAATGGCCAGGGAGACTGTTTCAGAGGCCAACTTGTATTGAAATGGTAGGGATAGCATATATAGCTCAAGTCATGGGGAAGGAAGGGGAAGAAAGGGGTCAAGGGAGGAAGTCCTGCAGCGGGGTGAGGGTGGGGGGTTCCAGTTTATCAGTCAGATTAGCAGACTGTCTACTGGTCACATGATTTCTGAGAAGCCAGCTCCTTGGGTTGGGGGACAAAAGCCTGACTGACTTTATCATGACACAGCCTTTAACTCTATGGGGTTAGTAGGCCCAAGCCTGATTGGGTAGGGAGCAACCCACTCTTTCCATGCTCTCTGAGAGATGCTTGGGGTATGGGCTCCATTCTACTATCCCTCATCTAACTTGGGAATGCCCAATCTTTGTCACATGTCTGCCATTCAACCTTTTTGAACACCCCTCCTCTGACTGTTTAAAAATGGCCTACCTCCCTGTAAAATGCCCCCAGCCTTCCTTATAGGTAAGATAGAAGCATGTGACTCAGGCACATGTACCGGAGAGAGACATGAGTTCTGAAGCGGACAATGCAAAAAAGCAGGTTTTCTCCAAGTCTTATTTTCCTAGCAAAGGCAGCAATGGAAGCTTCCAGCTTTATCTTCTCCTCTAGGTCAACTTTTCATTACGCTTTTGCATCATATTACCATTGTTAGTACTAACATATTTTTCTGTCCCCACCCTCATGAAAATAAGTCTTTCCACCTAGGCTGTAAGTCAGATCAAGCCCAATTGAAAAGTGTAACAACATAACAATAGGTATATTGAGCAAAACAACTCTCAGGAGGGTTCTCTGAGGCCAGAGAAGTCACATGCCCAGGCCAGGTCAGGAAAGTTTTATAGATTGTAGGCAAGGGATAATGATGTGTTTGTTCATCACAAGCTGGGTTTGTGCCCAAGGATGGTCAAAAGCTGAGCGCTTAGGTGGGGACCTGGGTGGCTGGAAGCGTCAGGGGAGGAAGTTGCAATAATCACCAAGAATGCAGAACTGGGCTTTTTGGCATGTTTTCTTAGTTTGGAGACTCTCTGAGCAGGTGGGATTTGGAACGAGACAGAGAGATTGGAATAGGGCTTTCTGGACTGTACAGGGGCAAGCTGGAGGCCCCAGCCAAACAAATACCATTAGATTCTACTCTGTTGTAATAGGGTAATACTAACATGTGTGCCACAACTTCTTTGGGTGTTGAACAACCCTTTCACAAGGGTCACCTAAGATCATCAAAAAACATAGGTATTTACATTACGATTAAAAACAGTAGCAAAATTACCATTATGAAATAACAACAAAATAATTTTACGATTTGGGGTCACCACACATGAGGAACTGTATTAAAGAGTCACAGCCTTAGGAAGGTTGAGAACCACTGCAAGAGAAGCTCCATTCCTATTCATATAAAGTAAAAACACGGGGCATTTAGGGTAAGCCGACTATTCTTCCATAAGAGGTTATTCTGGGAGCGAGGCATCTTTCATCTTGTGGCTGTGCCATCTGCACTACATGGCTTCCCAAGCGCTGATCCACTTGAACCTTACCAGAAGGCAAAGGGCACGGGGAAGCACACACTGAGGGGCTTGTGAGAAGCCTGGGAAGTGAGGCTGTCACTTTGTCCACAGTCTGTTGCCCTGAACTCAGCTGTACAGTTTCCTCCAGGTGAGATGCCATGAGCATGAGGAAGTCATAGTTAAATCGACACCATCTGTTGTCTCTCTTGCTTCCTTCTTCCCTAGGATCACCAGCAAGCACTAAGGTCAACATAAAAACCAAGTGCAAATCACAGACGGATGCGGCTCCCATCTGAATTGCTGAATTGGCTCTCCTGTGCTTGCTTTTCTTCTTCTTCTTCTTCTTCTTCTTCTTCTTCTTCTTCTTCTTCTTCTTCTCCTTCTTCTCCTTCTCCTTCTTCCTGTCCTTCTCCTCCTCCCTCTCTCTCTCCTTCCTCCCTACCCCTTCCTTCTTTTGTCTTCTCTTCTGCTTTCTGTCTCTCTCTTTCTTTCCCCCCCGCCAAGTTTTCATGTTGGAGAGGGTGTTCATATTCATTGGACATTATTTCCAAATTCTTTACTTGAAATTGCGTTTATCTCCAAACTTCCTGCATGTCAATTTGAAAGGAAAAGTACTTAGCAGGCAGCCTGGGAGCCACATGTGTTCTGGGGACGCTGGCATGGGGAAGACTCAGAGACTTCGAATCCTTGCTTGCTGACCACCCACAGACTAACGAAAGAAATGTCTTTTATTTTCCTCGCATCTCTTGGACTAGGTGCTTTGTCAGCAGCCAGAGACAACTGGGAGTATGATTCCGCTGCCAGGGACCTCCAGAGCCCAGACTTGCAGAGCAGGCTGCCCTTCCAGAAGCTGCTGGAGTGTGGCGGAAGCTCTTTGCCTCAGCCAGCTGTCCTCCACAAGCTTCTCACACAATCCCCTCATGTTGGCACCGCTACAGGCGGAAGCTATCTTGAGCTGGCCCGCACCGTGAGTACCTCTGTTCACAGAACACATCTTCTGTCTATATTCCAATAACAATATTTTAATTTTGAGCTCCAAAGGGAATATTGATTATTGCCTTTTCTTATTGCACTAAATAGTTTACCATTTCCTTGGGGCCAGTATGGTGGAGCATTCCAAAGTCGCTAGCACTAAAGGGCTTTGGAACTTTGTTCACACTGCTAACAATAATGTAGAACTCTAAAGGGTGTTTGACTAACTCTGTAGCCTGTGCAGTCTGATTTACTGAAGTCCACGATAGTTCTTATATAACAAGAACGCTCTCGCAGCACCAGAGTTTACAAAGCTATAGAATACACTTCCTTCTATTTGGACTTCATGCCTTTGAAAAGCAAAGAGAAAAAGATTCACTGAAAGTCTGCTTATGTTCTGGTTTATACCTTTGAGATTATTTCTGGGGAAACTTAGCATTAATCTATGCCCTATTTAGTTTAGCTTTATTATTTTTTTTCTTATTGGTGCTGAGGACTGAACCACAGCCTCACACATGGGCAAATGCTACTTCTGAGCTACCCAGTCACTTAAGCTCCCCTTTTCTGTTCACATGAGCCATGACAGTGACTGTCTGGGGTCAAGAACTATTGGCTTCCTTTAGTCAGAGATGGGACATGAGGGTGTATGACTGATGGCTGGCTCTTTTCAGTACCTTGCAGTTTACAGACTGAGATTGCTATCTGCATTCTGTGGGAGTTCTTCCCTCCCTTTCGGCTCCCCTCTCTCCTTCACTCCCCCTACCTGGCTTCTTGAAATTCAGGTTTGAATGGGGAAATGGCAAGTTTGCAGCCAGGACATATGATTCATGGTTTGTTTGATAAAGACTGCAGGTTTATAAACACATGTTATGACATATCTTCTATTCATATATTTTGGAGGGAGATGTTTGAAAAAGCTAACAATCATAAATCTCTAGCAATAATTAAAATGCCAAGAAAAATCACCCAAGCCCCAATGACATTCTGTAAGATTCCTGACCAGTTCTTGTCAAAACTGCTAAGCCTATTAAAACCAAGGAAAGTCTGGGAAGAAAAAAGCCTACTTACAACCATCCTAAAATGTAACACCATCCCCTTGGTGGGATCCTGGATAAGAAAAAGCCAAAGAGACCTGGGGAAATATGGGTTCTAGCTGAATGAATAGTGTTGCTTCATCAACTATGACAAGGAACATATAATAATTTAACATGTTAATAAATGAGAAATTGGTCATGGAACTCTCTATCCTGTCTTTGTAACTTTTCTGTAAGTCTGAACTGTTATCACTTAAAATGCTTTTAAATTTTAAAATATTGGCCGGGCGGTGGTGGCGCACGCCTTTAATCCCAGCACTCGGGAGGCAGAGGCAGGCGGATCTCTGTGAGTTCGAGACCAGCCTGGTCTACAAGAGCTAGTTCCAGGACAGGCTCCAAAACCACAGAGAAACCCTGTCTCGAAAAACCAAAAAAAAAAAAAAAAAATTTAAAATATTAAGAGCACCTATATTGCAATCTCTTCCTGGGTATGATTCCATCACCCAAGGCCTGTCCAATCACCCATGGTTATTGCACTGTTCCTTATTGACCACCCTTCAAGGACAACTTTGCACAGCTTGACTAGAATTATAACTATAGTACCTACTTTCTGTATGCTCAGTAGACCAGGAAATTGCCAGTAAATAAGTCTGCCACAAGTCTGGATTATATATAACCGTTATGTATGCCTGTTACATATCCTCTCCAGCAGACCGGACCTTCCTTATGCTACACCAGCTGAGCTTTGGAGCTCACCAACAATCTTTGTAGCTCAAGGATCATCCTTTACTTCTTAATCCTCCTGCTCCACCCCCTGAATTCTAAGACTGTTGGCATGGACCACCGTTTCTGGTGTATGCATTGCTGAGAATTGAACCCAGTACAGCATGTGGACTATGCAAGCACTCTGGCGATGGAGCTGCGATCACCAGCCCCTGACCCTGCTTTCTCGATAGCCAGTGCCAAAGCAGCACAGAAGCCAGGAAAAACCAGCATTACACATTGATCAATATTTGGTTGGCATCTTCTCTGAAGGGTTCAAGGTTCATGGCCCCAGATGTCCAGCAGACCCACCGTGGGAAGTTCTAGGAGCTGTCAGCTTCCTACCACTAAGTGAATCCGCGGTCCTGAGTGGAGTCCTGCTGTCCTATCTTTCCTTGGCAGACGTAGGTACAATCCCCAGGTTTCATCTGGCTGGGTCCTCTGAGTTGGGGGATCAAAGGGATTAAGGCATAGCGTTCTCATATGTCTCCATACATATTCCCTCCCTGCTGGTTACTCAAGCACTGGGTGGATGATGCTTGAGATGGCCTCGGCAGATACTAGCTAGATAACAGCTCCCTTAAACACAAGGTTTGTGTGATGCCCTTCCCACATTCCTAGAGACGTGTGAACAAATGGTTCATGCTGATAATAGATCAAAGAATGGATGCCACCAAAGGCCAACGAGTGGATTTAATGTGGGTTACTTATAGGGATATAAGTGAGGGGTTACTTATAAGAGCACAAATGATTCAAAAACAGTTTCATCACCAAAATCCCACACCAGTGTGAGTAGCAGATCACAGAAACCTACATTGCACTGTCCAGCCTGCACACAGTTCAGCGGGTTGAAAACTGTTTCTTACAGGCAGCCCCAACGGCCTGAGTCTCTTCTGGGTCACTCAGCTGATTTCTGCATCTCCCAGGCAGCTCTGCTGGTCTGAGAATGTCTTTCAGCAGTCCTAATTGTTTACATATGCTTGGGGAGAGGAGCCTAGAGAATCTGGTCAGTTTCAGGGACTTCCTGACGCTTTTGCATTACTTACTTCCTGCGATGTACTAGCTTCCTGGCTAGATAATCTTTCATCTTCTTTAGAAAATTTTGTTTGAATGACCTTTTCTTCAGGGTGGGGGGTTTTACCTCAGAGGAAACTGTTACATAACCCCAGACACGCAGCTCATTTAGCAGTAGTTAGTGTGCTTCAGCTCATAGACTTTTCTGTTTGTCTATGGCTATGAAAACCTATAAAAAATACCTGTGGTAAGTGATGGCATCTAGTCATTGAAATGCAATGAATAATTAAAAAGGGTTCAAGTTCACAAATGATTAGCAACTACACATGTGACCACATAAATAAACAAAACTGAACATGCTCACGTACGGCCTTCCTTCGTGAGAACCTGACCATAAATGCAAATATGGGCACTGAAGTCTTAGGATGGCCATGTTTTCTCACAGAGTGAAAACCAGAAAATGTTAACTATGGCTGAATTCAATTATGTGCTTAAACCCTGAGTTAGGGGATTGGGGCTCTCAATTCTCCATTCCCTTCCCATGTCCACACCATTTCTGATGTACCTTTGGAGTCCTCTTGTTACCTGAGAAATCGTAGTCATTGTGTAAACCCTGTGTTTAGGGAGGTTCATTAGAGCCAGCACTACTTCTGAGTCTCCTCACTGGGATCCGTGATCCCAGCTTGAGAAACAGACCTCGTGTGTGGCCAAAGAAAGCAAACAGCCTCTTGAAATGGCACACTCAGGCAGTCTCTTTATTTACAAAGTCGTATTAAAAGTAATTTATATTCCTTCTAAAACAAAATCTTGAACTAATAAAATTAAGTTCTGTTTAAAAACAAAACAGCTAGAAGCAAAAGCCATTGGTCAGCATCCAGCTAGGAGACAGAAAGCACATAGTAATTCACACAGGGGAGAGTTAATAGAAGCAATATTAATGAGTAACACAGTATTACCACCAGCGGGTAAAGAAAACTATAGCTAGTTCACACATAACACAGGGAAAGAGCAGCCTCACATCTCAGGCAGAGACAGTACCCAGACAAGAAACACATTTAGAAGAAGTATCTCAAATTACCCAGTGCTGATTCTACCTCTGAAGGGGTGATGGTACCCTGCAGGCAATAGAGAAGTTCCTGGTGGTTCTTCATGCCAGGGATGACAAATAGACACCAGCTCCCTAGAGTATTGGCCCAACTGGCTGGATTCCATCGGCAAGACTTGATGAACATCACAAAGAAAGTGACTTCAGAATGCCAGTGAAATTCTCTAGAAAGCCTTCTGCAATGGCAAAACACTAAATCTTTCCAGGAGTGAGCAAGCTGGATGTCCTGCCCTGTCTCTGTCTGGGAGAGCGTAGCCAGATTGGGGATTTCTGGCTTCCTTCAGTGTCCCTTAGCTTCCTCTGTTAACAGAGAAACAGTGTTTACAGAGTCCCCTCCATACAATGAAGCAGGAGAAAGAAGGGTAGATTGGAGGCAAAAGGAAGAAACCCATAACAGACATAGGTCTCCCCACATCACCCACTGAGAAGCATTTTACTTTCTAAGCCCCTGCCACCACCACCACCACCCTCTCAATATTGTTACAATGGCCATTGAGTTTCAGCAGGAAGTTTGAAGGAGACATTCAAACCAAAGCAGGTGCCAAGTACAGAACAAGATGATGCTGTAAATAAGCAGACACTTGTATGGAAGAGACAGGATGGCACATGTGATTTAGGGCACAAGTGATGAATCAGAAGAGACATATCCTCTCACACACATGTAGGAGCTGTGGCGCAGTCTGTTGACTCTGCAGCTTGGTGTTCAGCTTTAAGCTATTCTGGGGCTTTCAGGTGAACACAGGAGAGGAAGGCCACTCTGCAGTCTCCTTCACACTCTTACTATGACCAGTCTGGGTGCTGCTGGTGACCTGCAGGAGAAGTTAGTTGTGACCCGCAGGAGAAGCTGGCCAAGGACTTGGAAAAGCAGAAGGCAGAGATTTGGTAGGTCTGTAGTGTACGCCTGGTATACTAAGTTGTTAAGTGGAGGACTAGCAACAGTCCATGTAAATTGCCACTGTGCTTGGTACCTGATTTAGTGTGAATGTTTTCTCCAAAACTCATGCTGAAATTTGATCACCATGATAACCATACTAAGAGGGAGGAGCTTTAAGAGGTAACTGGGCTCCAAGGTTTACACCT